GTGGCACACCAGCATGTGAACGCCGTTACGACGCCTGCGGCGACTTCCTCCCTTGTGGGGGACATGTTCACAGAGGTGGAGTTGACTTCTTATTTCGCGAGGAATGTTCTACACGAGTTTCCAATCGCTTCAGACTGGTCCTTCAATCTTTCTGGGGCGCCCGTATTCTCGGCTGGACCCGCGGATACGGCGAGTGGTGGTGTTTTCCCTGCTGCTTCGGCGGGGAGCATGGCTGGAGCGCCCGAGTCGGCGGCTGCAGCGGTGACATCGGCGGCGCCCCCAGCGGCGACGGCGGACGCGGCCTGTGGTGGTGTTTTCCCTGCTGCTTCGGCGGGGAGCATGGCTGGAGCGCCCGAGTCGGCGGCTGCAGCGGTGACATCGGCGGCGCCCCCAGCGGCGACGGCGGACGCGGCCTGTGGTGGTGTTTTCCTCGCTGCTGTGGCGGGCTGAACAGCCGGAGCGCCCGAGTTGGCGGCTGGAACGGCGGGATCGGCGCCCGTGGCACCGGCGGCCACGGCGGCAACAGAGCAGAGGTCGGTGCCCATATTGGAGTCGCCAACACCGCTTGTGCAACAGCAGTACCACCCACCGGGATAGATGGGGATGTCGCCATCGGGGGGCACGCCACTGCTCGACATCCGTCAGGAAGAGGCAGAACAGACGGACGACAGTAGCAGCAGCAGTGATGATGGAAGGCACGCCGAGGAGGTCGGCGCCAGCAACAGCAGCGGCAGCAACAGCAGGGGAAACGACGGGGGGTGGGATGCTGCCTGGTTTGGAGCATCGCTCCGCTCCCTCGACCCGGGGAAACGAAGCATCTGGTGGTGGACGATACGCCGAGGAACAGCAACGACACCAGCAGCGGCAGCAGCAGCGACGGAGTGGCTGGATGTGGCCTGGTTTGCAGCATCGCTGCACCCCTCCGACCCGGGCAAACAGCTGAGGGCGAGGGTTGCTGGGGGCGTGCCGGGTGTGGAAACCCCTTTCGACCGTGGAAAGGCGTTGGGGCGGCGACGGCCGGGGCGCATGCGCTCGAGGGTGGAGCAGCGGAGGAGGATCTGGTGGCCACGGGAGCTGGGCGCCAAGGCATGTTGGCGGAAGACTCCAAGGCTGGACCGAGGCGCAACGCGGGGAACTTTCGAGTTTTCCTGTTTGTTTTGAGCGTTTTCTAGATGCAGTGCCTAATTTTGGTTGACAATCGTGGTCAAATGTTTTGCTGTTCAATTTCTCGTTTGTGTGTGTATTGTTGGAAAGGACTGATCATTGCTTGCTGCAGAGAAGCGTACCGTCGTGATGGTAGACAGAGACATTGGAAACCTTTGTTGCCAACCACTGTTGCTCGTTGTACACAAAGAAAGCTGAACTTTTGATGATATTGAACGTTGCAGCAGGCGGTGTTTTCCAACGACCGATTATTTTCAAGATGCATTCGTGTCGATCAGGTGTTTGGCCACAGCCACTTGCCGAACTTTTGCAACGCATTTATCGTACGGGCATTCGATTTTCACTGACATAGGATACACGCTGGTAGACGATGTGCTGGGTGCTCATGTGTGTATATTTATGCTTTTGTGCTTGACCTGTAGCACATAACGGGACGTGCGCCTTGACGGATGCGATGAAGGAGGCACGCTCGGGGGGGGGGGGTACTCATAGTCGTGCATGCCGTAGTCGTTAGACCATTGACCTCGCATCCCTACAAAGCCGGGACGGAGCACGC